CACACAGTACATGACTAGCAGCCATGGTATGATGGCAGACCCTACACATGTCAGCATTAGATGTCCATTGACCTTGAGCTGTATGACTAACACACATCGGAGACAGGGTGTGTGTGTGTGTGTGTGTGCGCGTGTGAGGAGGAAGCTATAGAAAAGCAAAGACAACCAGCTGCTCTGTGTACGGCACCCCTCTATGGAGCAAAGGAGACGATGCAGCACAGGACACATCAATGGTATACATTACAACACAGGTTTTCTTACCTGATGACAGATCCAGAGGGCTGCGAGGAGTCTGGGGTTCAGGCAGCATGGGGCTGTGGTCTTTGGGGGCTTCTGAACCCACTGCGGGTGTGGCATGATGGGGTTCCGCTATACTCTGAATCCTCTCTGCTGAGAGGGGTGCAGCCCCGACCTCCACGTTGACCAAAGCTGACAATCACAGGCAGACACACAGATGTATAGGGTCAGTGTTGGGGATTCTCTTGCACAGTGAGCAGCTGTAGCAGCTTTTCAAACACTAATAATTCATCTCACCATGAACAAAAAATACAGTAGAGTACAGTAGAGTACACTAGGGCTGTCCACCAAATGAATTCTTAGTCGACTAACACTCTAAAGAAGCCAAAGAGGTCAAGGTATGAGACGAAACAGTCGGCAAAATAAAACGTTGGCATTGTACATGTCTGCAAACCAAGATATGTTGAACGTTGAACGTTTCTGAAACAAAAGCATGTTTCATATCAGCATAGGTCTCCTGGGTGAAAGTCCATCCTCCCCCCTGCAGGAGAATAATTAGTTCCCTGGAAACGTAATAGACAATCCAGCTTCGTAATACGGGAACGTCATCTTTAGGAGACGGGGCAGCAGCAAGAATGTCAAAAACAACAACACATACGGCTCCTGGGAGTCGTCTGTCTGCTCTGTATACGTGGCCTCAGCATGTACAGAATGTGTGAGAGATACTGAGTGAGATCAGGAATATGTGTGTGTTGTCTCAAAACATGTGAACGAGTGAGATGAGTCAAGACTGTGCGTGAGGCTGCGAGGTGAAATGCTAAATTGATGGAAATTGGGTTATTTTGTAGGAATTCATGGAAGAGTCAACTGTACGTGTGCTATGATAGGAATGTATGTGTGTGTTTGTGTGAGAGAGAGTTAGAGTACAAGCCGGAAGCAGTAATTCCGAGACGACAGGTCTCATTAGGGCAACAGTGAGAGAGAGCTGGGTATGCCGAGGCTGGCATACCCAGCTCATCTGAGCATAGCTCAGCCTCATGTCTTATACTGTGTGTGTTTGTGTGTGTGTGTGTGTGTGTGTGTGTGTGTGTGTGTGTGTGTGTGTGTGTGTGTGGACTAAGCTAGTGACAGCAGCTACAGTTCTGCGTGCAGCAAACAAGCTTTGCGTCACCACAAGCCATTTACCAGGAGGGGAATTTTACGAGCGCAGACTCCAGACCAGTTGTTGGTCTGGAGAGTGACAGCGTTAATGAGAGAGGCGATGTAAGGAGCAGAGAGATTTGGCTGGTGAAATACCATGATGTTTGTTTTAACGATCCTCCATAATTGAAGGGGAAACAGTGTATTTAAAAAAATATCAACCCCTTTTCATAACATAGCATTTACCAAATCTAGAGAATAATTAATAAAAAACACAAATATGGAAAACTACAGAGCTGGGATCAGCTAACTGTCTGATGCTGCTGTTTGGAGGTTGCTACAGCGGCTCACTGCAGGTCCGTTACAGACGTTCTTTGACTGCGTTATCACCGGTTAGCTCTCGTATTCTTCTCACTAGGGTTTTGACCGAAAGTACTTTTGTTCTCCACTCAAAATATTTCTTGGGATAATGTAAAAGATTTGGAGTGAACCAACACATTGATTCATAAAATCAAGAGCTATGCTCATTGGACGTAATAATGCGCTCCTCCAGAGTTTGAGATCTCTGGTGTTCAGGGTATGTGCTAATGGTAGACTGTAGACATCAGACTAGGTTAACATATGCACATAGTAGTTTTGCACTACTCAAGCTAAACCCAGACAATGATCAGTGTTTGAGTTAACAAGTAGAACACATGAAGGATGTAGAGATAATCTCAAACAAGTTAGTGCCTTTACTTTGTTTCAGTGTTGATAAAGAATGGCTTGAAATACTTTGTTTTAAAATGATTCATGTGTGACTATTGCCGTGTAAAATATTCAAATGACATTTTGAGCTGAGGTTTATGAAGTGCCCATTATTAGCACTGCTGTTATCATCATAGCATAGTTCTAGTGCAGCGTGGCAGTGCGTCAGTCTACCTGGAAAAGCTCCCGTCCGGCCAGTATCCATCATGTGGGCAGGGCTGGTCTGAGAGCCCACAGGATCCGAATAACCCGCCATGGAGGCTGCCAAGAGGAAGGAGATCAACAAGGAGGGGAAGGGCAGGAGGGAAAAGTCGACAAGTGTGTGTGTGTGTGTGTGGGGGGGGGGGGGGGGGGGGGTTAGGGAGAGAAATGAGAAAGAAGTAAAGATGGACAGAGTAAACAAAGGAGGAAAAATAAGGGAGGAGAAGATGGAGTAGGAGGTGCATGAGCACGTGAATAATTTAGGGCGGGCGAGGTGGAGGAAGACAACAAGGAGGGAGGAAGCAAGGGGAGGAAAGGTGTTGATGTCAGACGTTTTTACATTTTAGCAAAGTACCAGTCTCACGCATTATTAACTGTCCATCACTGCATATCATTACTTTAGCACTCAAAAACACTAATCATAAGATTTGGCATACAGTTGTGTGAAAAAGTGTTTGCCCCCTTCCTGATTTCTTATTTTTTTGCATGTTTGTCACACTTAAATGTTTCAGATCATCAAACAAATTTAAATATTAGACAAAGATAACACAAGTAAACACAAAATGCAGTTCTTAAAAGAAGGTTTTTATTATTAAGGGGAAAAAAAATCCAAACCTACATGGCCCTGTGTGAAAAAGTGATTGCCCTCCCCCTGTTAAAACATAAATTAACTGTGGTTTATCACATCTTTGGAAAGCTGAGTTCAATTTCTCTAGCCACACCCAAGCCTGTTCTCAAACAAGAAATCACTTAAATAGGACCTGCCTGACAAAGTGAGGTAGACCAAAAGATCCTCAAAAGCTAGACATTATGCTGCGATCCAAAGAAATTCAGGAACAAATGAGAAACAATGTAATTTAGATCTATCATTTTGGAAAAGGTTACAAAGCCATTTCTAAAGCTTTGGGACTCCAGCGAACCACAGTGAGAGCCATTATCCACAAATGGCGAAAACATGGAACAGTGGTGAACCTTCCCAGGAGTGGCCGGCCGACCAAAATTACCCCAAGAGCGCAGCGACGACTCATCCAAGAGGTCACAAAAGACCCCAGAACAACATCCAAAGAACTGCAGGCCTCACTTGCCTCAATTAAGGTCAGTGTTCATGACTCCACCATAAGAAAGAGACTGGGCAAAAATGGCCTGCATGGCAGAGTTCCAAGACGAAAACCACTGCTGAGCAAAAAGAACATAAAGGCTCGTCTCAGTTTTGCCAGAAAACATCTTGATGATCCCCAAGACTTTTGGGAAAATACTCTGTGGACTGACGAGACAAAAGTTGAACTTTTTGGAAGGTGTATGTCCCATTACATCTGGCGTAAAAGTAACACGGCATTTCAGAAAAGGAACATCATACCAACAGTAAAATATGGTGGTGGTAGTGTGATGGTCTGGGGCTGTTTTGCTGCTTCAGGACCTGGAAGACTTGCTGTGGTAAATGGAACCATGAATTCTGCTGTCTACCAAAAAATCCTGAAGGAGAATGTCCGCCATCTGTTCGTGACCTCAAGCTGAAGCGCACTTGGGTTCTGCAGCAGGACAATGATCCAAAACACACCAGCAAGTCCACCTCTGAATGGCTTAAGAAAAACAAAATGAAGACTTTGGAGTGGCCTAGTCAAAGTCCCGACCTGAATCCGATTGAGATGCTGTGGCATGACCTTAAAAAGGCGGTTCATGCTCGAAAACCCTCCAATGTGGCTGAATTACAACAATTCTGCAAAGATGAGTGGGCCAAAATTCCTCTACAGCGCTGTAAAAGACTCATTGCCAGTTATCGCAAACGCATGATTGCAGTTGTTGCTGCTAAGGGTGGCCCAACCAGTTATTAGGTTTAGGGGGCAATCACTTTTTCACACAGGGCCATGTAGGTTTGGATTTTTTTTTCCCCTTAATAATAAAAACCTTCATTTAAAAACTGCATTTTGTGTTTACTTGTGTTATCTTTGTCTAATATTTAAATTTGTTTGATGATCTGAAACATTTAAGTGTGACAAACATGCAAAAAAATAAGAAATCAGGAAGGGGGCAAACACTTTTTCACACAACTGTATATATATAGATATAGATATATATATGGACCCTTGAGAATAGACTTGAGTCCACCATCTGTTGGTTACTGTATATTAGTTTAGATAGTAATGTTAAAGTTCTCTGTAATGAAACCCATGAGTTCACAATCACCGGATATTATTAACCAGCTATTCTGACTACTAATACACTTCCTTGTTTATAAATATTAACATAAAATGGCCTGTTGAGACATCAAAACATCATGAGCGACACCTAAAAACCACTGCTGCGCTATCATGGAAGCCATAGCTTTCTTGAAACATTCTTAATTCGTTCCACTGGGCAGCGTCTGTCTGGACTGGTGAACGTGACCTTGGTACCTGATAAGAAGTCTGTAGCCGAGGCCTGCTGCAGGTCGAATGAGCGTGGTCGCACCTCTCCCTGCGGCTCTGGGCGCAATGCCGACGCCTGTCCCCCCGCGGGCAGCTTACAACCTGCAGTGACAACACGGATCATCAGAACAACCAGTCGCCGCCTTCCTCTCTGATGACGCGTCCGCCGTACAAACTGTGGCTTTAATGACACCGGGCTAATGGAATGGCGCTCCGCTGAACACGAATCCACGTGCACTCTAAAAAAAATGACTCACACGTAGGCATTTAGGAAACATAACACTCATCTCACCTGACAGATTTCCTCCCAAAATCCAGATATCCCAGTCCCACACAACTCAACATTTGATGGTGTTTTCTATGTGCTGCTCAGTGCCTCTGTCTCTGTCTGTCTCCACTGCAGCCTCAGCTGGCTCTGAGCTACTAACACTGTGAACCCCCAGTCTCTCTCTCTCACACACACACACACACACACACACACACACACACACACACACACAC